AGGCAAAGCGACATCTGTTGCAATCAGACGTGTCGCTCTGGTACAGCCGGAAGAAGTGATTCATGTGGGCTACAGTGGCCGAGCATGCAGGTGAAAACCAAGGAGATGAACGAGGTTTAACTTGGTATTTCCTTGCTGGAATGAAAGCATCGACGACGGCTTTCACCCAAGAGGAGACATCAGACGCGCATTTTTGAACAGGATTATTAAAAACTTAATTCCAAGGGACGTCTCAAAGGAAATCACGGAATGAGTATTGACTACTTGTATACTAGTCGAACTCCAACCGCTTGCACAGTTCTCATTGAATGACAATTGCTACCTTTTCTGGGCTACTTGGTTACATTCATTGGTTAAATCTTACCGTATCACCTCTTTCTTCCAGAAGGCGACATCTACTGTTTAGGAGGGTATATATTTGCCTCGCTCTAGCTTGTCCAGATGTACTTGTTTTGAACTACGATAAAAAATTCATTTTCTCGTTTCGTTTGTCCTCCGCATATCCATCTCAATGATTGCTCGTTTTTCTATTTTTCATTCTTTAATGAGAATTGAATTAGCTGAGGTATACTTTCTGAGTACTTTCTATTGTCTGTTTATTTTGCTGATTTTTAGAAGAAGCCTCAGTTCTTGAATGCTGTAATACTCGTTTTAATTTGTTGAAACATCAAAAAATCTTACCACAGAAAATTCAATTTTATTGGAGCCTCAACCACACACCATGTTTTTGAATCTGGTCTAAATTACTTATTGGTGTTTAGCAGTAAACAACAGTCTTCTAAATGGTATTGCCTTATACGGAAATCAAGTTTTATTTGATTTTTATGGCAATCCAGCAAAAAAATTGGTCGATTTCAGATATCCCACTTCTCTTGTTGGGTTTCTTCTGGTAGATCCAGCATAAATTAGTGAACAAAGTAGTAAAATATGAATCAGTAAATAATAAGAGTCGAACACATTTCCTTATAATAGAAAGTATACATCAGCTAATTCAAGTCTCATTAAAGAATAAAAAAAAATCAAATAACTGATCCTGGATGTAACAAAAGCTAATAATTACTGTAATTATAATAATAATTATTTGTAGTATATTTTGCAATAATCACCGCGATATTGCTATTATTGAACTATATTTCCGTTATGAAGATGTCACTTTGGTGAGATTAAGAATTCGTCATTAATTGTGAAAAAACCGAAAAACAAAATCCAAACAAGTTTCCTAGAACTGCCACAAAACTTCTTCAGATGTGCCATCTTTACACAAAATGTTATGGAAATGCATTTATATATTTTGTAGATAATATTTCGGAAAGAAACGGAGAAGTATAAATTAATACATTAGCACTGTTCAACTTCATTGGCGGACGAAAGTATAATTAAATCGATACATGAATTTCTTTCTCTCTCTCTCTCTCTCTCTCTCTCTCTCTATATATATATATATATATATATATATATATACAATACGCAGGAATAAAATTCACTTAATATAAGGCTCGAGAGCCACTCAAAGTATAGGTTACTGTTAAAATTGTCATAATGATTGAGGTGAGTGATATGAAGGGAAGCTGATGTGGTAGAAGGTGAAGATTATGTTATTATACACACACACGCACACACACACACACACACACACACATATATATATATATGTGTGTGTGTGTGCGTATTTGTGAGTGTATATAACATGTTTCGTTGTATAGTTTAGACATGTTCTGTTTACTTATTTTCGATAAGATCCTTTCATGCCCACCGATAAGTTTTTTGATGTCATTATTGTAGGACGAGAGAAAATCGCCGTGTTTATACATATTTGTTTTATTTCCAAGTACTTTCGACATGTCATCATCAGGGTATTGTTTATTATAAAATAAATATTATAGTATTCATTATTGTCAGAGACAAATTGTTATCTGAAATTTAAATTTCTTACAAACGGAGTGAGGAACGCTGCGTCAGTACGTGACCGCTAAAACAGTTCTGAAAGTTAACTTTATTACAAATAGAATGAGGAACGCTGCGTCAGTGCGTGACCGCTGAAATCGTTTAAAGGGAGGTAACTAAGTATGGTTTGGAGAGTTTTTTTACGGAATGAGTAGTAAAAAGAAACTATTAGTGTAAACGTTGGCATTTCAAACTATTATACACATTTTAAAATATTGGTGGAGTATTCATAATTTATTCTATTAAAGTTTGGTTTCAATTTTTAATATAGATAGCTTCAAGAATTTTTACTTTATGTTTATTCTTTTCGTGAAAACTTATAGAGGTATTTTCAACAAGGATTTTTCTGAATTGCGAATGTGGACAGGTATGCTGCTGTAAATGTCTGGAAATGTTAGACATATTATTCAAATGAAAATTTAGCTACCAAGACAACGTTGTTGTAGTGTATCCAACATATTATTTTTACCATAGGAGATACAATCTCCCAGAGGACTTTTGAATTTATAAACAATGTTAATTTTCTGTAAGATGTTAGTATGCGGGGAAAAATTCATTACGCATGATTGTTTTAGTAGATTAATGTAGCATATAATTTTTTTTTTACTAGGATTTGTGGTGGATATATTAGTTTTTATTAAATTTTTTAGGATATTTTCATTTTGTCTATAATTAAAATGCATTTGGTTACGATATAAAAGATTGATATGTTTAGGGTTAGTTGAAGAAGTATTATATTCTATTTGTTTAGTATAGAGATATCTGATGGAGCGTCTTATTTGTTCATCAACGATATAGTTAGGGAATTATTATTGATGAGAGTTTGTTATATATTTTTTTAGTTTACTGTAGAAAATCTATTTTGTGGATAAATTAATTTTATTAGTTTTCTTCTATAACTGCTATTTTATGGTAATTTGGACATTCACTCCTATAATTAAGGGCACAGGAATTATGCTGGTAGTTTTTATAGTGAACTTATTGTTTTTAGTATTTATCAGTATATCTAGAAAAGGAATTTTGTTACTACTATTTTTACTATGATTTTGAAAATTTTTACTTTGATTTTAAAATCTTTTAAAATTGACTTATATATTTAATTTTCTGTTGCATTCTCGCACAAAGTCACTATTGTGACACTATTTAGCTATGGTAATTGGCTAACTAATTAACCATAGAAATTAAAACAGGAAATACTTAAGGCAAAAAAGAGCTATCCCGAAAGATATCCCGATCGAGGTTAAAAAAAAATTTATTTTATTTACGAAAAAGAGACTTTTCTCAAAAAACAGTAAACCCGTGGAAAAGGCCATATATGTGAGGTTTTGTCAGGTTGATTAATGTCTTGCCGAGGGAGATGGGAAGAAAGGCAAATATTAAGATATCGGCCAGACCATGACGGTCATAAAAATTTCGCCTTGAGACGATCGCCGATACAGGCAGGGAGAATCAATGTTAATTATCTTTCCAAGATATCGTTTATTTTTTTTCTTAGCCACCGGCGAGGAAAAGCAATATGGCAATTATAAAATTTTGTCATTGTCTCGACATAGGTGAGGGGATTGTTATTATTTATTTTATCAACGTGTCGCTTCAGACAAATAGAGTGGAGAATTGAGATTTGGCGAGATAAAAGAATTTAATTTCTCAACAAGCCAAGGATTCCATTATAAAGCTAACTTCACGAAGAGACCAGATGGAAAACTTTGACAGTGATTGATAGAGTCGGTAGAGAGTGCTGGCTAAGTGAATTCTGGGTGGCCAAAAGATATGATAGAAATTTAATTGTCAATATGGAATTAGTAAAAATTTTGGCCGATGGGAAAAAGGAGAATTTTGTAAACAAAAATTCTAGATTATAATTTTAAGAAGGCCAGCTTAGCCACACCCGCACGGCCGGGATGCCATTCGTCGGGTGGTAACAATGGTGATATGCGGAGGTGAATGGATGAGAAAGACGGAGAAGTTATTAACGCCCACTGAAGGGATTGATATGAGATATCAATGTGAGAATGAAAGAGTCTAGGATGATAGCTCTCTTCTGACATTCCCTCATGGACGACGGAGACACCACCCCACGAAATGGAAAGAGATTATTTTTCCAAAAATGGGAAGTAATCAAATTTTCTGACCTGACAACAAAGAGATTTCTTGTTTGAAATCGAGATTTACCGAGAACCCCAGGCAGCGTCTGGCTCCAGACCGGGTTTTGGTCGGTATCCATATAAAAGAACGTCCTCGGGTCGTTCAGAGAGTTCTGAGTTGCAGTCGCAGTTGAGCTGGTTTCGGAGTTAGAGTCAGAGCTTAACCAGAGTGTTGCCTTGCAGAAGCTGACCGAGAGATTCCACGGTCTCCGACTTCGCCTATCTTACCAATAGCAAATTGTACTGACGAACGAAGCCAAGCCAACACCTAAGAACTAAATCAGTTGATTTAAGATACCAACTTTCTTGAAACATAGAAGTGTCACATTTCGTAGAAAACGGGCTGGGAGAAAAACACACTTCTGTATATAACAGAAGGATAAAGTTAATTTCTTATTTCTTAACATAATCTCTTGGGTTTTTCTTTTATTTTTTTTCTTTGCGCTTGTGCGATACCACCTTCAGTCTGGACTCAGCCTACACTACGGTCCGACGCTTGATTGATCTCGTCTATCTAAGATCAAAGTCACAACGTGGGTAGGTTAGACTTGAGATCGAAGCAGTTACTCCAGTAACCAAGCGTTGCAAGTGAGCTGGGAACGATGGAGCTGGTATTGAACCGGTACAGCTTTTGAAGCCGTTAACATCGACGACCAGAATTCGACCCTGGACAGGCCAGTGTCCCATATTGGTATCCTGACCAGGGGATTTCGCCGAGTAGCGACGACCACCGATAGACCGGGACACAGGCTGGTGGCAGCGACAAAGAGTTAACCCAAAAACGCCGGTAGAAGAAACATTGCAGTTTCGAGCCGCGACTGGGAGTTGACCACGGGCCGATGCTGGGAGTCACACTATATTAAGCTATAAGTTAATGTTTATTGTATATTGATGGAAATTATTTTAACTTACCTGAGTTATTCAAAGTTATTTCTGGTAGATCATATATCGAAAGATTCTGACGCGACCATCCATAGGTATAATTGTAGCCACAGGTAAATTTTTCTTCAAAGTCACAAGAAATAGATCGAGCTGCAATTTTAAAAAGAGATAATCAATCAACCAATTTATATATGAGATGTTACTGAAAAGTAATCGGCTCCACCAAGAATAATGTTCTTACAGTCTATTCCACATATTCACCTTGCCTAACTGTTTCTTAAGTTTTGGTTTTTAATTTCTTTAACCTTCCCCGCTTTATCATTGCCAAAAATACTGATGTTTTGTCATTGAAATTCTGATTTTCGAGAGTGGACGGGCCAGAAAGCATCTTCTCGTAAATATAAAAATATGGAACAAGAGAAGTTTCTAATATATAATCGACGATATGTTATAAAAATTAGTGACTAATGTTATATTTAATTGCCAAATTTACAAACTGCTGTCGACTAATTTTATTTTTATCCAATTTAAAAAAATAAAAAAAGTTAATTTCAAAATGTGACCTTCAATTGTAGGTAGATGTGATAATTTTTCATGTCTATCACCAAATCATTCTTTTCTCAGTGTTTAAGATCTGTCGCCTTAAAAGTTTGTTAGATTTATCATGTCTTGAAAGCTTGGATCAATATGGCGAAAACGGAATTTGCCATAAAGTGGTAGAATCGGCCAGTGTACAACATTTTTTGATTGACATTCCTATTATGTTACGGTTATTTCAATCCATTACACTTAAGCAGTAGGTAAGAGAGCAGGTGATTTTTCAAACGAAAATCATTTTGAGTTACACGCCTCTACATCAACTTCAAGTTTGAATAGACAGAATGAATAGAAGAATATTAAATATCAAGTTACTGATCTCTTTTTTCAAAATCAATTGTTATGTACACGATGTGTTTCGAATGCTACGTAAAAAATCTCCTATTTCAAGAGCGTGAAGATTGCATAATCAGATAAACTCTTTTCTCCTGACATAGCTCAGTGTTCTTCCCTTTCAGACACAACAAAGTATCCTTCCCTTTCAGGCACAATAAAGTGTCATTTCTTTCCAGACATAGATGCGTCCTTCTCTTATAGAGATAGATAAGTGTCATTTTCGTCTATATATACCTTAGTGTCCTTAATTTCCAAACAAGAAAATGTTCTTCCTTTCCAAACATAACAAAGTGTTCTTCCCATTCTTATAAAGCTAAATGTCATTCCTTTCAGACATAGCTAAATGTATCTCATGTCCAGACACACACTTTTATACATATAAATATCCTTCCCTTCCAGACATAACAGTGCTCTCTCTTCCAGACACAACAAAGTCTCTTTCCTTTTCAGATATGGCCAAGTGTCCTTTCCTTCCAGCCATAACTAAGCATCCTTCCATTCCAGCCATAGCTAAATGTCCTTTTCTTCCAGAGATAACTGTGTTCAAGGCCAACATAAATGATAACATTATACTTATACATTATATACTTTATATATAAATAAAAGATAAGTGAATCCGTTTAAAAACTGATATCTTAATGATTTCAGGAACAGATTATTTCCACTAAAACTCAGCTTAACTGATAGGAAACAAAATCAATTGTACTAATTTATGACTTTTTAAAATAATAATTCGACATTATACTTTTTCGAAGCGAAGAGAAATTTTCAATAGAAATCATTTGATACTTACAGCAGTTACTTTCATCACTTCCATCATTACAGTCGACTTTCCTATCACAGAGAGAAGATTTGTCTACACAGTGACCTTGATCTGTGCAAGCCTGACTGGCATTCTTACAGTCTGAAAAAGGTATGATATTTTTCTTGAAACAATAAGAATATCAATAATAAAGCTAGAATTATAAAAGGAACAAATTTAATCCATAGAGTCATGAACTGGAATTTGAATCTTGACGTAACTTTCCGCAGGTTATATGATTTATAATTTTTTAGAAGTTATAAATTCATTCAGCAATGTTTGGATGTTCAAATAACCCTGTATAATGTTAGATTTATCTAATGAATATTCGATATAAAATTAAGTGCATTGACAAGGAAAGAGATGTTGAAAAATAATTGTATGTTGTGTAAAATTTTTTTTTTTCAGAATTACTCTACGAAATTATTGCTATACTTACGGATGTGTAACTTGTGATTTCTAAGCATATCCCATCTGGATCAATTTATGTTATGAAATCATATAAAACAGAAACTTAGAAATATGTGATTCGGGATCACAATGCGTTTGGCTTTGTGTGTGAAAAAAAAAGGTTAGCTTTGTTTTACCAATGCAGATTGGTGATTCATAACAAAGTCATTACTTTAATAAATATATTCAGCATCAAGAACAGAATATGTTGGCTTGTGTATTCTATTGGCCTAACTAGTTTGGAGTCGGTCATAGCTGTATTTATTATGCATCCACTTCGATAGAAAAGGTGACATAATTACATTTTCCATTCAAAATAAAAACATTAAAAAAGAACCTGCATTTGTTTCAAGATACTTTGTTGCGTTTTTTTATGACTTTTCATTTGTTTTTTAAAAAAAAACTGTAGTCAATGAAAAAAACAAAGCTTAATTTTAGGATAAATGTTTTCGAGCTAAATAGAGATTTCAGCCAAAGAGATATGGTGGCAAACTGGTCAGGATGCCAGCTTGCCCAATGACAAGTGGGCTCCTGATGAAATGAACCTCCCATATCAAATAAAAATGCAATAAAGAACAAACATAGACAAATATTTTAGTAATAAAAAGGAATAAGAACTTTATAAAGTCTTCTGCACACTATCAATTATTCAAGTTCAATGTTAGAAGACGTTTTCTCTTTTAAAAATCATAAATACAAGGTTAAGGAATTCGCTAAGGAGAATTTGGAATCTTACATGTTGCTATCTATTGCAAAGGAATTGTTAGATAAATTGGATGCAGAAGCAATTATTAGCAGATTCGCACAAACATTGAGTGAAAACAAACAATTGCTCTTAATATAATGAACTGCATGCAATGCTCCATTGGGAAATTGAAATCTGTTAATGTGTACATTATGCATTAAACTATTTAAAATTATCAACCAATTACTTAAAATTAAAAAAAAATTCAATTATATTATTATCAATAATATTTACGCTGTAATTACCAAGAAATACACATTTTTCCATAAAGGTTTTAATTATACGCTTTTTAAATATGTATTTTTTTAAAAAAAGTTATTTGTTATGAAAATTAATTGAGAGCATTGTAGTTATGGGTGGCCTCACTTTCTCTTCTCTCTTATTTTTAAACCCCAATACGCCACTGGTTAGGACGATTTATTTTCTCCTTTTTGTTGCTTGCAACAAATAAGAATGTGATCAATAGTTTGAAAAAAATGTATTTTTTTATATTATTGTTCACCCAGTTCAAGCCTCAAGAGCCACTCAACGTAGAGGGCTACTAAAGGAGGTTGTTGTAAGGGCGTACAAGGAAGGAGTAAAAGGTACATAATCTCTCTTTTTGCAAATGCACTAAATTCAGCGGTGAATATTAAATACATAGCTCGAATATTATACAGTGAAAATATCCGATCAGAATTCCACTAATTACTTCATCAGGACACAAAATTAATAACCCACCCTCGTAAAGGCAAAACAAAATCAATTAATTATGATGATTAAGTTTAAGTTCATGGAACCCAATATTTTTAAGGAAATAATATGTAAAGTTTTTTTTACAAATATGTAAAATGGAATCATTTAAAGAAATCATCTCTTCACAACTTAAAAAAAAATATTTGCGTTAATGCTTTGTTCGAAAAAAAATTCTTTCGTTTTAATTCACAACTTTTAAAAGTAAATTTCAACAAAATATTGAATGATTTTTTCATGGTTCAGGAGGCTTCATTATCGGAAATACAAAACAAACTTGCTTTTAACTAATAGTAACGAATAGTTCCGATTAATATCAATCATAATTTGTCTTACCTAGATTGGGGCATGTCCCATTTAAAATGGAAATTTTGCCGATGTTAAGCATACAGTACATCCAATAGGTTCTTATGTCAGCTTCAAATATAAGACTCGTCTCAGCATTTTGAATGTAAAATTGTGCTTTCTGCCAGTCTGTATTATTGTTTTCTTTTAATGAGAGATATTTATGATTGTTATAAGATGTATACACATTCAATCCACAATATTTGCCTCCAAGTCGGTAGGAAATCTGAATACAATTGTCTGATAAATTTCTTGATGGAGATTTCAAACTAATTTTTTCATAGGCGCCTACAGCATTCATATAGTAATCTGAAACAAAGAAAAACATATTTATTTGTCGATCGGTCAAATAGATTTTAATTAGTGAAACAAAACTAATTCTGACTTATACACTTTTTATAACTAGAAATAGATTGTTTTTATTATTATACACTGAACTAAACTCATCGTTTCGGGCTTTTTTAGAGTCAAATACATGTTTTTCTTTTTAATATTCAGCTTTTAAATCTTCGTCAACTAAACCTTATTTATTTCTACAGATCCATTACGGAGCTGAGTATCATAATCCTTCTACTTCCGCTATGGCTCCAGTCGTAAGTCAGTTTTTTTTTTTTCAGATAGATTTACTAGCACCTCATCCATGTAACAGAATATTTGGAATTATCCTTCTGATTTTTTGAAAAAAAAAACAACAAAAAAACAAGGACGGAGAGCGCAGTCTAACTTGTTATTTTGCCCAAAGCTGGGAAATTAAAATTCATTTACCTTTCCCAAGGGTATTAGTGCGAAGTTTACTGACGGTATCTCATGCAGAATTTGAACTAAGTTTGTCGATTCCTCTAGGATTTCTGACGGCGGTGAGAAATTATCTCAGCAAATCAATATTCCCATTACTGCAGTACATATATCTAATTTTCTTACGCATCACTATCTGCTAATGAGAATGGGCTACGGCTCTATCTTTACAAGAACATGTCTCAATATATTTCAGTAATTTGCCAAAGAGTTTCGAGATGAAAACAATGTATACATTTAGTCTTATATAAATGCAAGTCTTCAGTTAGAGACAGTTTCAAGCCCACAGTATTTCAGTCCGCTAGAAATATATATATATATATATATATATATATATATATATATATATATATATATATATTATAATTATTTTTAAAAAATACGATTCCATCAAGATGCAGAAGTTACTGTTTCGATTTGAAACTGGCCTTCAGTATTGAAGTTTAAATTATGGTTTAATATTGAAATTAAAACAAAAAATACTAAAGAACTTCGGATCATCAATCTAACAGTTCTTTCCTATTATATCAACACACACACACACACACACATATATATATATATATATATATATATCTGTGTGTGTGTGTATTTGTGTGTTTGTGTGTGTGTACCATACATACATACTTATATATATATATATATATATATATATATATATATATATATTCAGGCCATTATTGCCAAGGTTATCCTTGTGGAGATGAGTTCTATACCTTTTCTTTTTATGTAACGTCCTTTCAGGACGTAGGCGATCATAACTCTCCACCTCTCTCTATCCCTTGCTGTTCTCAGCTAGCTATTTCCTTTTTCTTCCTCCCCCTAACCCCGTTCTGTCATCAAGCTCATCAGGTATGGGACGCGCTGCTTTCACTTGCCTCTCTCTCCCTCTATTTGATCCGTGAGTATCAAATTCTCCAGGCCCTCCTTCCTCATTATGTGTCCCAGAAATTTCAACTGCCTCTTTCTTATGTTAAATATAAGCCTTCTCCTTGTTTGTAACCTCTCTAAGACCTCATTGTTGCTCACGTGCTAGGTCTATGATATCCTTAGCATCCTTCTGTAGAACCACATCTCCGTCGCCTTGAGTCTCTTCTTCATCTTTAAGGAAATCGTCCAACATTCACTGCCGTAAAGAAGAATAAATGTCACGTAACAGCTCAGTATTCTTTTCATTAAGAAACCTAAAGATTTTCATTAAGAAAATCGGAATAAAGCAGAGTGACCCACCGCTTGAAAAGTCTGCGTTGCTTAGCTCAGCAAATATTTTGAGAAAGGTGCTATCTGTTTGAAATCTTACGATTTGGAGAACACCTATAATGCGAGATCTCCAATTGAAAACAAAACATGTCCGAAAGAAGAGATAGTAAAATAATAATAATAATAATAATAATAACAACCTACTTTTTTTAATTAATGAAAATATCTTTCAATTTTTAAAGGAGATAGCTACATTAAATATAATTATAGTTTAAAAAAATAGAAATTCAACAATTTTGTTCTTAGGAATTTACCATCGTAAGAAAATTGTCCATAGGAAATGTTCATCCTAAAATGAAAGCAGAAAGTTTATTTTAAACAAGAAAACGTTTAAATTGTCAGTACCTGAACCGGATCGCTTTCTAACCCAACCATAATTGCTTAAACGAGAGACGTTTCTATAGCCACATATAGTTTCATCCTTGAAGTCACAGGAAATGCCTTGGTCTGGAAAAAAAAGCATCATTATGATCGCCATCATTATTTGCACTAGTAATAGGAAGAGGAGTAGAAAAAAATCGTCATTATCATCATCATCATTATCATTGACATTAGGATTATAAGGAATAGAATTGAATGTAAAAAAGGTTGTTTAGTTCAAAAGGAATTTTTTTAGGCAATGAACATGTTGGGTCAAATAATCACAGATACAGCGAATATTTTTAATATAAACGATGTTGAATTTTATAACTGCAGAGCATCGATATTTATCGTGTGTCCAGAGGATTAACTATTTGACGAGATCCCCTGAAAATGATATTCAGTAACCTCTTATTATTTCCACCAGATTAGCCATTTTTGATAACCTCATGACTAAAGACATTTCTAAAATATAAAAAGAACTGAGACAATCCAATAAAAACGAGTCATATAAAAACCAGAACCCAATTCAAAATCAGTGGTAGAAATACTTGTAATGATGATGTCAATGAAATTCGAATTTTATTACAATCAATCTACAACGTTGTTTTCAATCCCTAAAATCCTTTTACAAATGATGTGATAATGATAATCGATTTAGTGGAAAACATTTTTAAAATATGAATCTTTGAAAATTAACCTCTCATCAGCTCTACTCTATGAAGATTCGTTAACGTACAAAGCAACAGAACTTTGATTTCTTTATAGAATTTCAATGAGAAAACATCCATTGGCGTAAAAGAATTTATGTTACTGTTCGGAAACCAAATGAATTGTTCGTGATTATAATGGACCAAAAATATTAATGTTACTTCGACATTGAAAGTTCACAAAAAGTTAAAATAAAACTCACCGTAACAGACGCCAGGTACGACACCAACATCGTCAATTGCCATGTCACCTAATGGACCATTACCTCGGATTCCAGTAAAGACAACAGTCACTTTCTCATTAACTGGAAGATTGACGCAGCCTTTCACCCAGTTTCTTCCCATTTCACCTTTCTCGGACCATTTTAACATTTTTCCTGAACGAGTGATAATGTGAACCTAACAAAAGCAAAATAACAGACAACATATTCACTTGAAGCAATCATTAAATATTAAATAAATCTAAAACTGCATCTATTGGATTCGATATACGTGCATTACTTACAGAGAAAAAGAATGAGTGAAGTATGATTTGATGTTAGTCGTATGCATCTACTAAATAAAGATTGAATTTGTAACTGGAAATGAAAAGTTTTTTTATTCGGAATAGATTATAAATTATGGAAAAGAAAGGTGAATGCAAAAGTAAAATCAATTCAAGAGAAATCAAAGCTGCAAGGAGTCAACAATGAAAGAATCCGTCAAAATGAAGTGTTATTTATTTTTTTATAACGGATGAATAAATGTTTAATATCTACTGACAAATCAAGAAAGGATCATTTAGATTTAAGAACAAATCATATTGTATCAATAGTTTTATTGATTCTAATGAATGAATGTTTAATATCTACTTACAAATCAAGAAAGGATCATTTAGATTGAAGTGGGAAAAAGAAAAGTGACAGAAGAACAAATCATATCCTATCAATTGTTTTATTGATTCTAACCAATAAATATTTAATATCTACTGACAAATCTGTACAATATCTTTGGATTTATATCTTCAGAATTTAGGAGATAACATGAAATGTAAATTTGCAAATATTTTGTGTCAATATCCCGAAATGACATTTAAGAACTTTTGTAACTCGTTGTTTTCGTATACAACAAATTCTGTTTTACCTACAGTCATCATTGTGCTTAGAGGTAACCATTTGATTGTGTCCTCTTTTTTCTTCTCTTCAAATTTTTACATCAAATATTAAATCACCTGAAGTGTTCCAATGTCACGACCATACATGTAGTAATAGAAACTGAGGATATGTCCAGGGGGTGCGACAAATTCAGGAAACACAAGGTCAGTTGTGTCACCTGGACTACCAAATGACGATTCAGTATACATGAAATCTGTAAAAATGATAGAAACAAATTGTATTTTAATGAAAGACAACAAAACATTGTAATGAATAATATCAAATTATTTATTTAAAAAGATGACAATATTTAAGTAACATTGCAGTTGCATTTTATATCATAAACTTTTATTACATTTTCTTGTACAGAATCTTTCTTGAATATAAACATATAACATTTCCCATTGAATAATTTAGTTTTTTAAAGCACTAGAAGAATTATGATATAACGATATATAATTTTTTGTTATATATCAATAACAATTTTAAAGGCAAGGTGTATGACAATGTGTAAAAATTTCGTGTGATGCTTTTCGTCATTTAGGAATTCATCGGACTATGATACGACTACACATGCGCACGGACGAGAGGCGCTAAGAATTTTAAATTTAGAAATTTTAGAATTTTTATGTGTTTTGTGTATATAATCTAGCCAGTATCATTTAGATATTTTTTTTATTTTTGTTTCCACCATCTTCGTTATTAAGATACGCAAAATACATATAAAGGACGAAACGCATCACTAAAAATTTTTCCACTTTGACATAGATCTTCCCTCCATATATATATATATATATATATATATATATATATATATATAATACACACAACCATATTGACTGTAAGGAAAGTTATCGAAGTTGCTAAATAAATGAATGTTCTACAAACGGCTAGAACTTTCCTTTCAACTAGTAGACGAAATAAAAACTCTAAAAACGTATCATTTACTCAAATACGATTAATCATTAAAAATAACGTTTGTAGTAATAAAAATATGACGGAATAAAAAATAAAATCCATTAATTCTTTACGTTTCGGATACTGACTGTCGAAAAAAATCTGAACGAATGAATGTGCTTTAAGGCAAGCAGAACGTTGCTTGACTGTGGGACTTCGTAGTCTAGGGTTTAAGCACGCCAGATGAGACTGTGGTTCTACCTACTAAGGGGGACGCATGTTCGAGTTCTGCTGGCGGGTACATTTTCTTTATTACATTTTCTAGAGTGAGCAGACGAAATAAACACTGTTTTAAAAAACAGAGTGTCTATTCAAATACGGGTATCCATTAAAATTAACGTTTGAAATAACGCCATTAATTCTTTAGAAATATATATATATATATATATATATATATAATGAATGTCACTTTTATTTACAATATTGGTATCATTTTGTTGGCTTTCTTTTTATTCTTCAAAGTTCATTAACTGACCTAGTGTATATATATATATATATATATATATATATTATCTGACCTAGTGTGTACACACACACACACACACACACACACACACACACACACACACACACACACACACACACACACACACACATATATATATATATATATATATATATATATATATATATATATATATATATTTACGCCCAAGCGGGTTTGTGTGTATGTATGTATGAATGAATATATCTATGCACATAACATTTTATATCTCCCAGCCAGCAATTGTTACCTGTAACAAGAGCAGGTAATTCTATTTGTTCCATTTGTCAATGATACAAGTTGTCGTAACTCGTTACTGACATATGCCTTGTTCTAATTCGCTGCATTAGATTTAACTTTCAAACAGAAAAGTTCCAGTCTTTAAGAACTCAGATGAATTGTCTGATCCTTCTAACTACCGGCTTATTAGCTACCTGCCTAATATTCCTAATATTCATCACCATTGTTTCAAGCGCCTACCCTTGGCTAAAACTACCTGCTAGTACCAGCTCAAAACGCCGACTGTCTATCGACCTTCGCTTACTACCTATCTTCCTTCGACACCTTCCAAGCTCTTTCGTTTTCATTTCTGGCTACCAACAACTGTCTGCTCTGAGCTATGACTACCAACCCAATACATCAACTGTCTGTCAACCTTCGGCACCACTCAAATTGCTCCGATCATAATCAACTGTCGACGCATCTAAAACCAAGTGTTAACTACCAGCACGACTACCCAGATTGTTTAAAACATCTGGATTCTTTGATTGTATTTTCAGCCAATAATACATTTTCGCATATTTACTCTAAATTTTGGCATATTTATTCTAAATTCCTTGTTCTCATGATTCTTGCCTTGTGTCAATTCTTCAATTTTAATGTTGGCGAGATTCGTTTAACACCGACATTTAGATCCCACAACAATTTACAGTGCTGTTCGATAAAAATGACTCACCTGAATTTTTTTACTAAAAATATTTTTTGTCTATTGTTTTTGGGGTTAAAATAATTTTTAATCTTACTAATATAAAGACTCCTTCCCGAACACCTAGGAAAAAAGTTTATTCTCCCTAAGGTATTCTATTGATAATTATAAATTTAGATATAAATGGGATTCAGGAAAAAACTCTGTGCAAAAAAAGTGACTCGGATATTGCATTCTAATGATTAATGCAGGATAATGCTCCCTGTCACAAATCAAAATTGATGAAGGAATACTTTGATGAGAAGCAGGTGAGTGTTATGACATGACCGCCCCAATCTCCTGACCTCAACCCGATAGAAAACTTATGGAGCATTATAAAGTACAGGCTTTTGAGAAAGCAGTTGAGCAACAAAGAGGATTTGATTGTGAATTTCGTATCCGAATGGAATTCAATGCTTGGAAATGAGATTTGCCAGAACCTAATCAAGTCAATGCCAAAAAGGGTTGAAAAGGTTATTCAAAATAAAGGAGGACCCATAGATTATTAAATATTTCGAACTATATTACTTATTATAAATAAATTATACCTCTATTATTCTTTATTTAAAGCTGTTCGGTTATGTTTCTATTGATTACTAATTGCAGGAAATAAGTGAGTCACTTTTTTTCCCCAAATCTCATTTATATCCAAAATTATAATTATCAATAGAATACATTCGGGTGAGTAAACTTTTTGACTAGGTGGTCTTATATTAGTAAGATTAAAAATTAGTTTGACCCAAAAAACAATAGGCGAAAAAAATTTTAAGTAAAAAAAATCAGGTGAGTCACTTTTATCGAACAGCACTGTATATGTAGTTAAAACGTGATATTTAATCAGGAACATTGAGTCGTGTTTGTAATCTCAAACACAATCAATCTGAAGCCAAATCTTTCCTTACCTAACTTAAAGCACATAAAAGCAAGATAAATGATCAGAATATAAACCTTCAGTACATAAATACAAAAATTGATAAATAATGTGACGATAATAAAATTTACTTACATCTGCCTTTTCCACTATGGTCTGAAGAAGGTCCTGTTGAATATGAACTAGTTTTTTGCCCTCTCTTCCACAGAAATTTGCTTGTTTCTTGACAGCTGACGTTATAGCCACATGCATTTGGTTCTTCAAATGTGCATATATTATTCACAATACCATCTGTGACAAATTATATAAAACAGGATCAAGTAAAAAATTGTTTTCTATATTATCAAATGCACTTCATTTTTTTTAATTTGTATGCGAAATTTTTCTGTATATTCTTCATTACGATATAAATCTTTTATTTGTTAAATAATATCAAGCAGCAACTAACACGCTAGTGCATATATAAACACATAAAAATAGTCACTACGTATTAAAAACGTATTTATAATTATGCAAAATGTTAATCCCGTTAAAATCGTAAACGATAAATATCCCCCAAAATACGGCAATAATCTCTAAAGACAAATGACAAAAAATATTTTGAATTTATTTGGTGATGGTAAGTAGCGAGAAAATCTCGGTAAACTTAACCAAAGAAAAATAGTATTGTTGAAGTAATCATATATTTTGGTGGCCCTTGAACAGATATTTAATTCTCTTTATTAAAAAAACTCTTTTAAAAATAAAATATACTTTTCTGAAACTTTATTTGAAGAATATTATCTAATTCAAAGTTTAATTAATCTGGTTTGAAACAAATATGACTTTAAAATAACGTAAAAATGTATTTTTTAACACGGCGGTAGCTGTTTATTTAAGATGTTGACAGATTGATCGTTTGACTGACAGATGGAAGTTTATTTCTATGGTGACTATATCTGTAAAAATAATTGAGGAATATAACGTGAGCACCTTTTTAATATATTTGCTTTTAACTTATCCAGTAACCTTAAAAAATTAGAAAAATATTCTCCGTTATCTAATGTTTCATTGAATTTTAGGTACTTTGGCCTTAAATTTACTGTAGTTTTCCCTCTTATTTTCCGATAATGTCGTGTATGGACGTTCGTATTTACAAAAATCGGCATGTTTATACATATACAAAATAATTTAAAATTATTTTGAAAATATTTGTGTTCGTTAAATTGTAATAAGCTTTTATATTTATTATTAGTAAATATAGTTTTTAAATGATGAGAATATCACCTAACCAGGAATAATTAAGACAGAAATTTAAGATTTAACATTTCATAAATTTTTCTAATTAAAATTAAAAAAATGAAAGAATTCTTGCAAAAATTCATTATTCATACAGCAATAATTTCCACAATATATCTTATTCATAAAAGCAATTAAAAGATTTTCTAAGTAAATAATATCTTAGTTTTATTGTATTTTTATTTTACGATTTAGAGCAGATTTTCGGTAAGTGGAAGTTCTGATTAAAAAATTAAATTGATGATTTAATTTTTTTTAACTAACATAAACATTCCCGAAATTTACTAAATTAAATTAGTTGAGGGGGTGATTAACAGATTTAAAATATATTTTCACCAACATCCCCCCCCCAAATAAACATTTCTAAAACAATTCAATTAATCTGTAAATAAGTCTCGAAAGTTTCATTAAAATCCAACAATTATTTGATTTTTGTAAGAATTTCCAAATCAATGTGTTTTTTTTACCGCAAAGAAAGACGCTAAAATTTCTATACTAATCCTTGGTTCCTTGGCTGAAGCAAAAAACAAAACAAGATTTTTAACTAAAATTTTGAACGTTCTAAAACGGATTAAAAAATATAAGTTAATAAAAAAATCCTTTGATCTTTTTAACATAAACCTTTTAATGATAAAACTTTATTTTTATTAAGTTTGGGACATTTTTATCATCATAGTATGCTAATTTTTTAGCAACTCCTTGGAGGTACCTAGATTTATAAGTGTTCAACTATTGACAATCATTTTTACAACTGTATTATTTACAGGCGGGTGGGGGGCTCATCTTATAAAGTAAGCAATCTATCGAAAATGAGGCAAGAGAAACTAAATGTGACACAATTTTAAAGTTAGAATTTTTCATTGGAAAATCAGTTTTATAAACCAACCAGTTTAAAATGATATTCTCGATTGAATCATATAAATTTAAAAATTCGTGAAATTTTAAATTGTAACGTTAAATATCCAAGCAAGAATGAAAGAAATGTGAAGTCATTATTTTATGTTATTATTTTTTGTCTTTTTGCATTAAATTTTCTTACATGATTAAACAGTTTGCCATGTTGTAAGTTGTTATCATATAAAGCAGACAATATCTTTTTAAAATTGCATGCGATTTTCACGTAAAACAAATTTCTATGTAGAAATAAAAAATGCGTTCTGATAAACAAAGATTTATATTTAGGAAGAAAAATAATTTTGAAGTAAGGAACAATTTCCTTAATTGGTATGGTGAATTTCTATTGTTCAATGCAAATATTAATGAGCATAAATTGAACTTACCCACACAGGAAGTCGCTTGGTAAGAGATGTCATCCAGCATTATATAATCTGAATAAGTGTCACCACTGATCGCAATGAAGCTTACTGATACCCGTTCATTTGCTGGAAGGTTGATGCAGCCCATTACCCACCCTTCCAAATTCATATTAAGGGATTTGCGTTCTATAACATTTACTGTTGTCAACGCTGATATACGATTAATTTCAACTATGAGTTTGCTTGAACCCAATATATTTGTTTTATAGTAAAACTGGAGGCTGGAAGTATTGCTCGTTTGTTGTATAACAGGTGATTTTAGGGTTGTCGTGTAACCTTCTCTCCTGGAGGAGTAATATACTCTGAGGAAACGCCCTGAACCTAGAAAAGAAATAAAAATCAAACGTTGATGGGATTGATAAAAAAACAATATTTATGATAGAACTAAAAATCTTTTCGAATGGAATTGAACTCACGTCAAAGACATTCAAAGATATTCAAATTCAAATTATTTTCCCCGTTGCGAACTATTTATTCGTATTAAAAATTATTCCTTAAAACTAACACTAACCCGTATATACTGGGTGTGATAGATTAAGTGTCGTCAAAATTACACAAAAATGAAAACAACACTGACATCTCATTTTAACAGATATCTTTACCAAAATTACACAAAAATATCTGGAAATACTAAAGAATAATTTTATTAGATAAAATCACTATTGGCTTCAACTACGGCCTCAAGACAAATTCGGAATCTCCTAAAACTCCTCTGGATAGTCTCCTTATTTAAGTTGGTGAATGCTTGCAGTCTAGGGAGTTAGGTGGCCAGGTGTAAGGGGTGATGTAGTCCCAGAAATTATCTAACAACCATAGCTGGGTTTTCCTGCTTATGAAACATGGTGCAGGGCCCTGTTGCCAGCAGCCACCCTCTTTACCCAGGCCAGCACTACCT